CTTGTCAAAACAAGAGTTGATTCTTTGAAAACATAAATTTGACAAACTTCTAGCCAAAGTAAGTAAAAGAATAAGAGAGACCAAAATTAATGAAATTAGCAATGAGAAGAGAATTGCTTTAGCAGACTGCAGTGGCATGCAGAGAATCGTTAGGGAACGAATACTGTATGACACCCCCTAAAACTGGAAAATCAGAAAGAAGTGGAGAACTTCCTAAACACATACAATTGTGTTTAAGAGGGCTTCCTGCTCTTACAGAGAACCAAATTTAAAGTCCTAACACTGGCAGGGTGGCTGACAACCAAATGTAATTCCAGGTCTAGGGGATCCAACGCCCTCTTCTGACCTCCGCGGCATTGCAGGACACGGGTGCACTCACATACATGCAGTCAATGCACTCATACACATAAAATAAAATAATAAAGAAAATATTAAATCCTGAAAAAACTCTGCGGTTGGAATATATTTCAACATAACAAAGGCTACAGGCGACAGCATTGTAGTCACCAGAACACCAAACGGAGGCATATCGAGAGGAGGTTCTCTAAGGTATCGAATGAGATAAGGGCACCTGCTCTCTTCAGTCTTATGCAACAGCGTGCTCAAAGTCAAAGGTAGATCAGTGAGACAGACAGATATAAAAAAGCGATAAAAAAGGAAAAGTTAAACTATCCCTGTAGATGACATGGTTCTATACTTAAAACAGCCTAAAGGCACCACCACAAATCTCTTAGGCGTTATAACCATTTTCAGTCAAGGAGTAGGACATGAGCTCACTATACAGAAAAAAAAAAAATCACCTTTTTCTACACACTAATAAACGCTTTCCAAGAAAAGAATTAGGGTATGCATCACATTTAAAGTTAACTTTTTAAGAAAACAACAAAAATCTAAAAGTTGAAGATTTAGCTTAGTGTATTTTCTAGCAAGAATAAAGTCCTATATCTGATCCCTAGCACCATATAAGTAAACATATGAGTAAATATTTTTAAAACCTCAGAAATGAACTGAACCAAGATAATAAAATAGCACTTAAGTAAAACCTTTAAGGTGCTGAATGAAGAAGCTGAAGAAGACAGAAGATGATAGAAATGTCTCCCATGCCACAGATACATAGAATACTGTGAAAATTGCTATATTACAGAAAATAATCTACAGGTTTGATACAATACTCATTAAAATTTCAGGGACATTCTTTCAAGAATTATAAAGAAATAGTCCTAAATTTCATATAGATGAAAGACAACAAGTAGACAAAGCTATCCTATGAAGAAAACAATTGTGGAGGTATCACAATTCATTCTAGAGACAGCACAGGGTGTACAGTAGGGGACTCAGAAATAAATCAAGACATCTGTGGCCATTTAATTTTTGACAAAGTTGTCAAAAATACATTGGAAAAAAGGCAGCGTCTTCAACAAATGCTGCAGTTAAGTAAATATATGTAGAAGAATAAAATTAAATCCATCTCTCTTACACTGAAAAAATTTCAAATGGATAAAAGACCTTAATGCAAGACCTGAAAATCTGAAACTGCCACAGGGAAACACTTCATGATACAGACATGAGCAAGACATTTTTGAAAAGGACTCTAGTAGCACAGATACCTAATACATAGGTTATATGAAATCAAAATTTTCTGTACAGCAAGGAAACAACCATCAAATTAAGAGAGCCTACAGAAGCTTCCAGTACACATTTGACAGGTGATTGACATCTAGAATATATATAAAGAACAGCAGAAATTAAAAGCAATACAAGAAATCTTCCACCTCTCAAAAGAAGCACAATGGCCAATAAATTCCTGAAAAAGTGTTCAATAACATTAGCTGTGAGTGAAATGCAAATTAAAACTTCTTTGAGATTCCAGTTCACTCCATTGGAATGGCTATCATCAGGAAAACAACAAATGCCAGCAAAGGTGTGGGCAGAGAGGAGTCCTTACTGTCTTCTGACAGGAATGCAAAATGGGACCACCACTGTAGAAACTGGTGTGGAGGTGCCTCAGAAACTCAAAACAGAGCTAACACATGGACTGCTATGCCTGTCCTGGGTATATATCTACAGGAAGGTCTGTCACAGAGGAACTTGTACCCTCATCTTTATTTTCTGAGTATGCTTTTCCTCCTTCTCCTCTTCCTCCTCTCTCTCTCTCTCTCTCTCTCTCTCTCTCTCTCTCTCTCTCTCTCTCTCTCTCCTCTTCTCTTGCTTTTTTTTCCTTAGCTTGCTTTCATTTTTTTTTCCTGAAATTTACTACCTGCCACTTGTTCATTTCAGGAGAAAAGGAGTCCTTAATGAAGTTGGAAATGTTAGCTTAGTGAATGATCCAGGTGCATTGGAAAACAGGAGAGATTATTTAGTGTTCTGCTTGGGAAAAGCAGGACCAATGACAAATCAGAAAATAAGAAGAAGCAGACCATAGCTTCAACAAGCTTTCCTGTATTGCCCTCTGGATGCATGGCCACTGGCTTAAATGGAAGGGAAGATGCTCTGCCCTCTCTCTCTTCCTGGCTGGCTTGAGGAGACGCCAAGTGTCCAGTGAGTAACTATTGTTACTCTCCAATATTCCCACCCCGGTAAGCTCCTCTAGGGATTTCTCTAAAGGATTTGTTTTTAATTCCAGGCAAGTTTAATAACACTTCAGTCACATTTTCCTGTGAGTCAAATGTTTACCGTGATCAATTATTTTATATTTTATAAAGATTAGAACAAAAATGTTCTGAATAAAAATAGTTTTTTAATAAGTTTAAATCATTTGTACTAGATTCTGAAATTTACAAGAAACAGCTGGGTAAAAGAAGTATAGAGTAAAGTTACAGTTTAAAATTTTTATTGTTGGAGCTAAAGAAATGGTTCAGTAGTTAAGAGCACTGGTTGCTCTTCTAGAGGACTGGGGTTCATTTCCCAGCACCCATGTGGTGGCTAACAACCAGTTACTGCAATGGTATGACATTTGATGCTGTCTTCTGACCTTCATGGGCACTGCATACATGTGGAGCACTTGCATACATGCAAGCAAAATACTCATATTCATGAAATAAAAATAAATAAAATTTAAAATTCATTGTTAAACTTAAAACAGTCATACATAATACGGTAGGCAAGACTGATCATACAATTACAGCCTATGATAATAACTTGAAAATTAAAAGATCATTTTCTCTAAGTCAGAAGCTGATTAAAATTCTGACTCAGATGAAACCTTTAAATTTTAATTCCATAAATATGTGTTTTTATATAACTTTCATGAAATATTTGTGTATTTTATATTAACCTTTATTATAGTACCTCTTAGAAACAATATTAAAAACCATTTATATCATGATTAGCCATGGTTATATAAACTCATTGGAAAAAATATTTTGGCCATTATGTACTGCACCAGGGTTAATTCAATCCGTAACTGTAAAGATTTGACAGTAATTATGAGCAAATATCCAATTTGTGTATTCAACAGTATAATTTTTCATACAGTAAGAGGACAGAGAGAATGTGATTATGGACTTCTTGAATAGTGTTAGGAATTACTCAATGAGCGGCCTTCGTGGTGGAAGGCATATGAGCACACTGCATTTGATGAGACATTTCCTCATGAAGACACAGTACAGTCAGGCTTAAAGGACTTTAAATGTTGAACAACTGACATGCTGTTACATACATGGATACAATTATAGAAATACATTCATGAAAACCTTAGAAGCCCTTCTAGTTCCAAAGCCTATAAAGGAAATTTAAAAGAATAGAAACATGTGGCAAGTTGAGGGAGTCTTTCATCTCCCTTTTCAATAGCAGAAGTTTATAGAAAAAATTCCCTTTGAACTTTAAGATCTAGTGCTTTCCATGCCCCTGTACTTCTCTGTGGTACTTAAGGTAATAGAACAGACTTTAATAGTATTCTCTGATTATATATTAGCTAAAAAAAAAAAAAAAAAAAAAAAAGCCCTATTATTTTGCTTCGTGCAATTTGAGAACTATTTGAAAATAATCTAATGGAATTTACCTTTTTTGACTTTGACCTACAGGAAGTAGAAAAGTTATCTGTTGGAAAATTAAGTTCCTTTGAAAAGCTTTCTAAATTGTAATGACCAACCACATTGTTTGAAATGCACATGATTCCTGTTACTATTTACAGCAAGAACAAAATCTGATATTGTTACGCTAGTATCAAAGTGATAATAGCTCCTTTCAGCTTGGACAAAAATAGCTCCAGGGGGCTGCTGTCCTGACACTGCAGGTCCATGTACATTCAGAATGTCATGTTAAAACATATTTACCATATTCTTTTTTGAATCAGTGTGTACAGAGGCAAAATTTGGTAGTATTGTGCCTAACACTTTTGCGATAAATGCATCAATACTTTATAACAGTATTTAATAACCAGGTAACTCTCAACATTGCGGAAAGTTTAGGAAGTCATGTTTCCTTCCTAATTTTTTCACACAATTCTGGGCTCAATATTTGGCCCAAAATGAATGAAGACAAAATATCAAGGTTTTCCTGATATTGTAGAAATTCAAAAATCATTAAGCTCAAATATATTTGATAAAATTATTAAATCATCCTTATTAATAACAAAAACAATGACACTAATATCTTACATTAAAAGTTTGAAACACAACATAAAGACAGATAAACATATAATGTATAGCATAAATAAGTTCCAAAACAAACTTTTCGTAAGGTCTTCTCATCTGTATCATTAGAACATAACGAGGTAATTAGTTGACCCTCCCCCCATAACATTGGTATAGCTTAGAGCCCCTATTTTATTTTTTGACCATTTCTCCTATGAAGGTCATCGTACCACATACAAATCTCTCGAAGGCTTCCTGGAGCCTCATGCTGAGAGATATACACATGGTTCGGAATTCCACACCAGAGCTTCCTTCATGTACTAGTTTCATTTATCAGCCTTCAGCCAGGTAATAATTATTCTTAGGAATAAACTGCTTCTATAAAACTGAAACTTTAATACATAAAGTTAAGGATTTGGAAGTTTTAATTAAAACTCAAGTTATCTAGTCACTTATAAAGCACTCAAGTGCCTTAAAATCTGTCTTTCACATAGTACTTAGAACACAGTGGCAATTACTTTATAAACCATTATCTCTTTGAGATGACATGGGTGAGATTCCAATGGACACTCAGCCTCTTCTCTCAGACCTCCAGCCAAGTTGACAGTAGTGAAGATGGTGCTCCCTGTTGTAGATACCTGTGCAGCAAAAGACTTTATTTCACACGGGCTAATAAGCTGATGCCAGAAGACATCGTTTACACCAGTGGTTCTCAAATCCTAAGGTGCTTGATAAACACCTGTAGGATTTGTAAGCCTGTGAATTCCAGGGTACCATTCCTGGGGTTTCTGGTTTAGTAGCTTTGGGATAGTTGGAAAATACTGTGAAATACCCGTGCTGATGGTTCAGGGACCATCCTGAGAATCACTGACTTAGAGCAAAGGGGATTCTTACTTTTGATCTGTCACAGAAAAAAAAATCTCTCTCTCTCTCTCTTTCTCCTTTCCACTTCTCCATCTTTCCCCTCTCAAGCCTTCTCTTCTCTTTTAAGTAATAAGAACTAGGCATCTCAGGATTTAAAATCACCTCATAGATTTCAGTTAATAATGAAGCTCAACTATACTGGATAAAATTAAATCATCCTTATTGAGCTACTTGATTATTAAGGCATATTACCAAGAATATTTGAAGTTATTTTCAAACTAATTAAAATGCCAACTCTCTGCATAATATGAGCATTAAGGCTCTCCTCTCATGTAGTACACACCACGCATATAACTCTCAGACAGGTAAAAGGAGAAACTGAAAGTGATCGTGATTGCCTTCACAGATCCAGAGCTGATATTCACTACAATTCTGATAAACCTCATATAAAAGGGTAGTTCTATAGAGTACTAAAAGGCACAAGATAACAAAATTCTAAATTATTTATTTATTTATTATTTTTTAGTCAGGGTTTTACTATGTAGCACAGACAAGGCTAGCCTCAACCCACCTGCCTCTGACTCCAAATGCTGGGATATAAAGGCATGAGCCACTATGAGTGATGAAAATCCTAAATTCTTGTAAAGAAATTAGTTTGTTTATATTATATTATAGAAAAATTGTTTATATTACTTTTCTCTGAGAATAGAGTTCGGAAAGAAAGCAAAATGATAAAATAACCTTTTTCTAATAAAACCTTTCTTAAATATTGTGTTCAGGACAGGTGTGGTGTCACACACCTTTAATCCCAGCACTCAGGAAGCAGAGGCAGGCGGATCTTTGTGAGATAGAGCCCAGCCTGGTCTACATGGCAAGTTCCAGTGTAGTTGGGGCTACAGAGAGACCCTGTCTCAAAAAAAAAAATATGTTCAAATCCTATTTCTGCACAATCAGAGCATGTTGTCACTTCACTATGAGATGAAAAACAGTTTATGAACATTTTAATTTAATTTTAAAGTGAATACTTGCATCAAAAGAATTTTACAGAGGAACAATTTGAAGCAATTGATGCTTTCAATAGCACTCTTCAGTCTTACGTGCAAAGTATCATTGCCACCTTCCACTTGTGCTTCAGTTGCTAGAAAGTCCCTCTAGTCTCCTAATCTCCAGGAGCTCAGCTGGGTACAGGTGGGATTACTAACACAGGGAAGCAATGTCTTTAAGTGGGGGAAGCTGTGAGGATGGTATGCTTGCTGTGTGGAAGGACCACTGTTTGGGGCTGTGTAACAGCTGGGAAGTCTCAACCTGTCACCCTCTCTAGACTCTAGCAATTTCTGTTGTTTGGTTTTTGTTTTTGCTGGTTTTTCAGTGCTAGGCACTGACCTCTGTACTATGAGCTACTGGGGAAGCGCTCGCCATTCATCAAACCACACTAAACCTGGACTATAGAGCTTTTGAAGTCCTGTGCACGACCACCTGGTCTCACTTTCTGTCACCTAGCACACTGTCACATGCAGAATCTAGCAAGGCTGACTTATTGTTGCTACTTACAATAATCTGATTTTATCTAAGTGCTAAATCTTTCCTTAGAAATGAAAGCTATTATGTATTAGTTGTTCTACAAAATTTTTACTTTGATAGTCTGTATTGCACACACAAAAAAGTGTTAGAGATGGTAAAAATATAAAGTTGTATACATTTAGTAAATGAGAGATAAAGGTTGTGGAAAATAAAGTTTAATAATATATAGCTCATGTGATTTGGGAAGATAGCTTCTGAATATATACAAATAATACATTATTCTATGTAAAAATATTCTTCCAGGTATCACATTGTAATGATAGTCTTTGTGATTGAAAAAAAATACTGTCATTTAACATATGTTTGTTGTTAAATGAGAGTAACTGTTACTTTTTTTAATCTGCCAAAGAAAAATACTGGATAATTTTTGATGATTTTTAGCAACCGGTTTGAATTATGAGTTTAAGGTAACAAGGGGTTAGAAAAGAATTAGAAGCGTACAAGCACCTAATTGACATAGACTTCAGTACAAGAACTAAGAGTGAAATAGTCCGAAATAAGTTCAGGAAAAAGTGAAACTTCTAATGTGTTTAAGTCAAAGGTTCAGAAATCATTTCAAATTTACCTCTTTTTTTTTATTTCCAAAGAATAAACAATTTAAAAAATGAATTGACAAATAATTTTAGGTTCATATCACTTGAATAATAAAAGTTCTGTTTACAGAGATTATATAAAAACACAGTTTGAGTCAGGTATCCTTGTCATATGAATAAATATTCTACCAGTTTTGAAGTGGTCCTGCCCCATTGGCTGCTGGGAGTGTGCTTATGCTGGTGAGCACGACTTGCTCAGAAAGCTTTGATATGTTATCAAAATTGCTGATCTGCGTGGTCAGGGATTTCCTACTCTCTGTGCTGGTCCTTCCCCTGGCCAGCTGGTCTCCTTGCCGGTTCTGAACTCCAAGACAACAACAAGAAAAGGCAGCTTTAAATTCTTCCCGAAATTTTCCTGGCAAACCAGAGACAATGAAAGGAAAACGAATTAGGTGTAAACAGCTTAACACAACACTATGGTAAACTGTGTGGCTCTCCTGAGCCAAACTAACAGTGAGGTGCAATAATTTGCATCAACAGAGGAAATCGAAAAAGGAAATTAATGAGGTATTTTCAAACATAATATTTGTCATTTGTTTCCTTTCTTTAAATCAAACCCCTTGTGTTTGTGAATGTAGTTAACACTTAAAGGTTTTTAGGAAAATCTTGCAGAGAAATACCTGTTTCACAAGCAATGGAATCTGCATTATTTGCAGCCAAAAGTATACAGAGATACACTGTTGTAAACAAATGACTGCTATTATAGCTCAACAGAACTAGAAAAATGCATTGACCTATTTATGAAAATTCCCCCTTTCATAATCCTTGTGCGGCAAAAAAAAAAAAAAAAAAAAAGGAAATACTTCTTTAAAGAACTGATAGGGTTTTAGGCAGTTATGAGGATGAAATGCTTACTTTACTTGTACCAGGGTGAAGGCAGGGTTCAAGGCCATTTTTCTCTCTGTGCCTCAGTTACCCCACTGGGCTGTTGAGGGACTAAATGAGATAAATGTTCAAAGGCCTATGACAATAGCAGGCACACACAAAGTGAGTGTTTGCCTCCCCTCACTCATCCAGAACTAAGCAGGACTCTGGTTTGGTCTGTTCTGCTTCAAAACCTCATCCTACTGCCTCAAGTCAGGCCTCACTTAATGCAAAGCTCAGAGCTCTGGTCAGTGCATGGTGTTTAAGTGACAAAAAGCTTTTCAGAAAGGAAATTACCTTGTTTTAATAGTTAAAAAATATTTTAGCAATAATTTTCATTTTATGTGTATGAATGTATTGCTTCATGTGTGTAAGTGCACCTGTGTCATGCAATGCATATGGAGGTCAGAAGAGGGCATTGGATCCCCTGGAACTGAAGTTACAGACAGTTGTTTGCCACCATGTAGCTGCTAGGAATTGAACCCATGTCTTCTGCAAGAGCAGTCAGTGCTCTTAACCTCTAAGCCATCTCTCTAGCCCAAAGTTTTAAGATTTTTTTAAATGCCTTGTGATATTTTGGTGCATTGTTTTCAATGTTTAAGTGGGTAAAAACATTCAAAATCCCTTTTTCTAACTTTTTGAGATATGTAGTAGATCATTGTTATTTGCAGTTATCCTTCTACAACTTGTTGTTTCTTTCTAATGCAGTTAGAACAGCTTCATACTAGGAGAGTCAGGCAAATAAATGGTCTTTGGTTTAAAAAGCTATGTAACCAGGAAGCCAAAGATAAAATTGGAAGATGTACATAGCTTCTTATATATACAATAATTGTTTTCTTGTAAATAAATCACCATATTTTTGGAAATGGAAATAAAGAATGAATAGTCAACCAGTTGGAAGACAAGGCAAAAATGCAAAGATGTACCTAATCAAAACACAATTCTGTGTTTTGGCCACTGGTAGGATGTTCATACTGCAGTAGATGGCCCTATATCCATGCACTTATGGGCAGTTCTAACCAGGTTTACTGAGTTACTTTTTAAAAAGACATAAGGTTGAGGGGGGGGTTGTTGGGAATAATTGGAGAAGAGAAGTGGGGGTAGAGATGTTCCTTGTGCATATGTGTATATATACTGGACATACAGAGCTGCATTTAATTAGTATATGTGTATTATGTAGCTTACATGTTATTTTTGAAGTACTTTCTGTGGTCAGTGATAATTCTTCAGATAAGAGTGTTACCTACCAAAACTGTAAATATAAAGAATATCTAAAAGTGGATTGATTCCAATTCAATCTCAATTATACTACAAATTTTGGCAAAGAAATAAGAACAGCAGCAGCAACAAAAAAAAATTGATAAAGGTATTTCATGTTTGTCAATCATAAGTTTCAAGATTCTCAAAATTTTCAATTTTCTTTATCAATTATTCTAAGTTTTCCAAGAAAAAATATTAGATCATTTCCCTTTATGAGTTAGGTGGTATGTATTCCCTTTCAAAAAAGAAACTCAAGAGAAATTCAACAAGGGATAATTATATTTCAAATCTCAGATGAACTCTTTGTCTATTTAAAGATGCTCTAAATCTTATGGTCAGGATGTCACAACCTTGGGTAGAGGTTTAAAGAAGAAACAGCTGAAAACTTACCACTAAGAAAATTATAAATGATTGGGTTTGCAGCACTGTTAGCATATACAAGCCAATGGGAAAATGTGAACCAAGCATATACAGCCTCTCTGTCTTCTGTGTGGGCAAACATCCCAAATACTCTGTAGGAAAAAAGCAAAAACAACAAACTCAGAAGGATTCTGAAATGATTAAATTCAAAGGTAAGCAAAGCCCCTCATAAAAATGACCTGACCTGGTCCTCTGCTACATGCATTGATCACTGATTGGTTTATGACAACAGAGTCTCCTTAGAACAGTTTCAAGAAGGAGCCAAACCTCTAGGGTACAAGCAGTGAATTCAGAGCCAAATCAGGTCAGAGAAAGAGGCTCTGTGTCTTGTAAACAAATGTTGATGCTTGTCAAGGATACAGAAGTTGAATTTTCCTTCTGTCCTTTTGTTTCTAAATGTGACTGAATAACTTTATGCTGGCTTTGGCTTTTTACCATGTTTTATTTAGCACTTGGAAATTGCACTTCTAAATGCCTCTCACTCTCTTTTATGCTCTGATCAATGCATTATAGTCCTTAATATATTATAATAACTATAATAATATACTAATACATAATATATTAATATATAATAATTATAATAATATAATGTGCCAAAAATTTTGCTTATGTAACTTGTGTATATGTAGGCAAATAATTGGTTTTCAGTGGAAAAAGTACTGATAATTCCTTATGATACATGAGTTTCAAAGTTTCACACTTTATACTAAAAAATATTTTAATAGTGTTTCTAATGGCCACATTTTAGCATTTTTACATTCATTGCTTTTGGGGGCGGGCATGGGGCATGGCACGTGTGTGAAGGTGAGAGGTTAACCAATAAGAATTGGTTCTCTCTTTTCAACAAGTGGGTCCCAGGAATGGGCCTCAGGTTCTCAGGCTTGGCAGTCTGTACCTTTACTCACTGAGCTACCTTTCTTTGGCATGGAGAGATGGCACAGTGGACAAAAGAACTTACTATGCAGACCTGATAACTGAGTTCAGATCCCAAGAACCCACATAAAAATCAAGATACATTAGAGCACATCAGGGAGGCAGATAGGAGAAACATTGAGAAGCTCAAGGGCCCGCTAGCTGGGAATTCTGCACAGCTGCAGAAACAAAAGAGACCCTGCCTCAGCAAGGCGGATGGTGAGAAGTGGCTCCTAAATGTTGTCCCCTGACTTTTACACTTGTGCAGTGGCATAGATATAGCTGTACACACACAAACACTCGTGGGCACAAAACCCAAACCAAACCCTGCATTCTTAGATATATCTCTTCTTTGTAGAATTTGGCAATTATATTCAACAACACACAGCGACTCAGTAAGTACCCAGAAAAGTGCAATGGGTTTCCTCTAGCAGGCTCCATCATTGATTATGTCATTTGTGTCTTGTGTTTTCAATGAGAAGGCATATGAATTTCTGGAATGGAATGGTGCTCTAGAGAGCAGTAGAATTTTGTAAAAACACAACACAGGGAGAAAAAATGCAAACAAATGGAACTTTCAATATGATACAACTTTCTAGTTCAAAATATCTGAAATATTGGCCAGACAAAAACACTTTGAGGAAGTTAGTTTTGATCAATCTGACAAATGTTTAAGTTTCAAGAAAAAGATTTTTATGTGTGTGAGCAATAAATAAAAACAAGTTTAATATGCAAGACTAAATTTAATGATAAATATTTTAAGAAAATGTATGCAATAAAAACAATTTTCAAAATTATTGAAAAACATTTGTGTGAGTGAGTGTGTGTGTGTGTGTGTGTGTGTGTGTGTGTGTACAAGCAGATTGCTTCAAAAAATTTTGGAAAAGGTTTAAAACTGCTCTTGAAATTTTTCCTTGAAAAGGGAGGAATTTAAGGTAGAAAAATTAGATAAATATTACGGACAAATGAGCATTTGGAACTAATTAGAGGAAAGGTACAAGGCCCTAGATACACGAAACTCCAAGGGGCAATGCACGAAGTGGTAAAGCCATCTTTAAGTACTGAAATTAGCCCACAAAGGAGTAGGAGTCTACACAGTTCTGTTCATGCTTAACATTTCTTAAGAACAGAAAACACAATCTAGTAAGAGACTTAATCTTTCTGTATGAAAGTCCTGTGAGCAAGAAAATGAGAGGAGCCTGAGCAGATGGAGGGCACATGACCTCACTGTCTTGTGAGGGAGCAGGCATTATCTCAAGGACTGGAAAAAGCCTGTACCTTCAAGGCTACAATGTTACCTTACAGAAGTTTATTTTCTACTTCTCCATTTAAAAAGCCTTTAAACAACCAAAAACAAGGGTAAATTCCAGGTTAAGTTTGAAGCCTAGAGTAATTAACAATCAACAGAATTGAGGTTGCCTTGTGACCAGGGTGTGTGCAATAGTTGTGGTATTTCCTAGTAAAGTTGAGGTGTGCCATGGCCTATGTATTTGCTTTGCTGGTTACTGGTCAATTGCTTGAAATCGAAAGTTTTTTCTACTGTGTAGCAAATTATGTCCTTTCCCTCACTAGATAAACATGCTGACTTGTATTAAAATTGATACTGAATTTGTTTCAGTTATTTAAAGAAATGTATGATTTGTTTTCTCTCTTCAACACAAAGTATTTGCTTGATTTTTTTTTTTTTGGCTTAGTGTCCAAAACAAATTACTCTTATATCTTATATCTTTTTATTATCTCTGTTTACTTTTAGGAAGGATTTTGGTATGATTGCCTATGTTTGGGATCAAAGTTGGAAAAGCCATTTATTTTGTCAAAAAGAACTTGAAGCTGTAAATGATTTTATTTTTATGTATTTACTCATTCAATTCAGTTCAATTTAATTCAATTTTCGTATTAGAATGTTTTCTCCATCTAAGGTTTACCAATCATCTTTAAGAGGTTAAGAAACATCTGTTTTATGTCTGCCATCCAACTGAGAATGTGCATGGACCAGAGTGTATCGCTTGAGCATGTAAAAAGGTTGTTTTCCTTAACTGTTGGTAACCACATGGTTTAGCCTGATGAAGTATCTAGGCAGGAAGGGGTTTTTCTGTTTAGAAAGAAACAAGGTCTTAATTTAAATGTCAAGCCACTTCATTTTCAAATAAATAGCAGGCTTTACCTCTTGAGTACATTGAGGATGCTGATTGGTAGATAGCAAATTGCAAAGACCAAAAGCACCACCATGAGCATCCTGGCTGTCTTCCTTCGGGCTCGAGTCTGCTTTATTTCAGCGGCCACTGCACTAATCCGGACCTTGCTCTGCTGTCCTGATCCTCGAGACTGGGAAACAGGCTGCGGCTGCTTCCATTTTCTCTGAACCACAGAAGAAGTGCCTGGGATCTGAAAAGAGAAGGGATCCTTTATTGGTACTTATAAAAGCTCCACATAGAAGATGTAATTAAAAGAAACGTTTAAGAACATGTCCTGGGTGGCAGAAATTTAAGGGTTTGAGTTCCTATTTCTCCAGAGTGTGCTCTAGGATGAATTTGTTCTTAGCATTTATTCAGTCAAACACCAAATAGGTATTTCGCAGGCAAAAGCTAAAAACACTTTTTTTGTCAAGGTCTAAACAGAACAATAAAAGAACATGTCTCTTTATAGAAAGGGAGGTAAAGGACAGAAAGAATGCTGTGAAAATGCCAACTGTGTAGTTTCCTTAGAAATTCTAGACTCAGCTGGCACCTAAATTTCAAGTGAAAGAAGATTGAGCTTGTAACAGGAAGTAATGAAATGACCTGAGTAGCTTTTGATGTATCCCTATTGCCATCTGCTGTTGCAATGAGACATAGCAAGTAGCTGTTTGGTTTATTACTATTATTAATTATTATTATTAGTTTTCTGCTTCATGTTTAGACAAAGCAAATTTTGTATGGAAGGAATAAAACAAACTATTCTTTGCCATTTTCTATTTGTATTTACAAAATTTCTTGAAATTAGTTTTGCCGTTTGTCCTTTTAAAATGTACATAAGCGCACTGAAAACCCTGTGGTCTTACATTAATTTTTCAAATATGAATTTGATTATAGACCTTGCACTTCTCTATTTCTTTTCAGTTACTTGATAGTAGCAGGAGACACTTTGCCAAATATAATATTTTCTTAACAACAATGTCATGAAGCTTGATAGGCTTTAGCATAACAATAAAATCCAACATGAGTAGTTTTTTAAAAAGATGTCCCAACAAACACACCCTGTGGACATCTTATCTCTGTTAAGATTATTCAGGTGTTACTTTCATCTTTGTGCTGCACACTGTACAGAGAAGTGTGTCCTGCGGTCTCTCAGAGTGAAAGTTAGATGGATCCTGTGTCTGTTTATGCTACAAGATCAAAGCCTGTTACATAAGCTTCAATTTTGGAATCCAATATTACTTTGATGTTCAAACAGATGAAATGATAGGAGGCTCTATTTGGCCATCTTCTTTCTTGAAGAAGTGATATAATATGTCCTGCAACAGAAAACATTTTATACATTCTTCTCTGTGCCTCCGGTCATATGGTAGGTCAACCCCTTCCACTGAGGCACAGCCATCTCAGTCTTCCAGTCCACTGGCTGGAGGGAGATGGGAGCTAAGAATCATTCATCTTCTGTGACCTTCTTTTTAAGTAGTTTTTTGGGGAAAAAATGTTGCAGGAAGCAACAATGGATGTTGGGGAGTCTGAGAAGAATTCTATCATGAAAGTGTCTAAGTGGTCTTAGAGTGTTTCCTAAAGGATACCTGAAAGATCACTTAAAATGTTGTGATTGTTTTTTTGAGTGTTCCTGAGGGAAGATCCAACATCGGATGAGTTCTGAGAGCATCAAAACATTCCTATAAAGAGAAGCTGCAACAGGGACCAGAGCTGTGGTCCCCACAATGAAAAGAAACATGTAGTGATGCCACTTCCAAATAATGGTATGAAGACAGAAGATGCTTAATTTTATGACTCGCTTTCATATTTCCATGGATATGCTGTACAGAGAAACCACCCTTCCCCAGGGAACTAACAGGAAGATAGGGATCAACTGAGCTTCAGGAACTGTGCATACCTGTGAGTCATCCTCAATGCATCCCTAAAAGCAAATTTCAAATCTCATTTTAGAGATCACACACTACATTATTTTGTTTAGATCCTCCCTATCTGCAGCGCCACTTATTACTCCCCACCAAATTTTATGTGTTCTCTATATAAACACCTATAGAATCAAATTTGTGCCCCCCAAATGTCCTTTGGTGTGTCTTCATTCACTGGAGCCCGACCAACTTACCAAGAGTCAAACCTTTAAGTAAGGCTAGCTCTCGAAGACTGACTCTCACCCTCCCAGCAGCCATTGGTTGCCAGTACTTCTTCAGGTTTCTGACCCAGTTCCCTATGTGTGGGATTCTTAGATCATAATTTTAATATGTGTGAAACCAGCATTGTTACAGAGATCTGGGTGAAGTGGTTTCCTTTTGCAAGTTTACACATAAGAGAGCAATAAATGTTTGTGTATGTACATGTGTATGTGTGCACATGCATGTAGACGCCAGAGGAAAACCTCAGCTGGCATTCTTCAGTCACCACCCACCTTGCTTTTTCAAACAGGCTCTCATTGGCCTGGAACTTACCAAGTGGGCCAGGCGGGCTGAAGGGTGAGCCTCGGGAATCTACCTCTCCAGCATTGGGATACAAGTCTGTGCTACCTACCATACCCAGCTCTATATGTAAATTCTGGGGATTAAAATCAGATTTTCATGCTTGCAAAGCAAGCAGTTTACTGATGGAGCGATTACCCCAGCCCACAAATTATTGAATACATACGTTGTTGCACAAAAGTAGCAACAATTATATAAAACAACCAGAGAAATGACCGATTTTGAGAGGTTGTCCTGGTGGGAAGATTTTCCCCTGTTAAGTCAGTGGACATTCCACAACTCCTAACTGTAATAAACAGACACACATGCACACCATGTTCATCATACTGTAAATGAACTCTGCCATTTTTTATGTGAAAACATGCCCTCAAAGAAATATGACCATAATTATGAGTTTGAAATATGTGATAAAATTTGCAACTAACTTTGTCTTAGAAATATTTGTGACTAAAATGAAGTAATCAGATTTTAGGACATAGAGAAATCGTCCTCAAACTGCCCTGGAAACTTGCCCTTGCTGGCTAGCCAGAGTCACTGTGCAGGGTACTGAGGAGGAACAGAGATCAACAGTCATACCCAGTGCTGGACTCTGCATATTATAATACTGATCTGAAAGATAAAATGTGCCCACTGGTGTAATAGTGGCATATCTGTCACAGGGTAACTAACTACTTTCTGATTGTATTTGAGGTTTGATCCATAGGAGCACATTTTATAGCTAGTACTATAATCCTAGCCAAGAGCCCATGACTAGGGAGGTCACAGGCCCTAGGGTAGAACCTGCTACTGTTATCTTGTAAATGGTTATGTTGTCAAATTGCCTTCTTCTAAATATTTATTTATATCCATAACCTGGGCTGCTCTCAACCTTGATCAGAGAAGCATCATTTTGTAATGTGTATCAATCAGCACAGAGACACATAATTGGTCAAAGTACTACGAATAAGAGACCAAGTTCTCAACTCTAAATGAGACATCTTTATCAACTGCCCCCACCCAAACCCCTGCCAAGGTTAATGGAACATTGTGGAAGAGGGAGTTAGAAAGATGTGAGAGCTGGAAGGTGGGGAGGAACGCTGTGGAATGCTGTCTTCTGGACATGATATGGTTATCGCACTCATGAACTACACCAGCTGTGGCTGCCTGAAAAAGATCCACGAAAAATTCCTGCATAGATGGGGCCAGTACTCTGAGGCTCTCCCTACTCCTTATGGAGGAGCTATTGGCAGAGGCTAGTTGCAGGGAGAAAGAGAATCATTATTTTTTGAGATTCTGGCCAGTGGTAGGTTTCCCATTCTTCAGTGGATGGCCCTACATCCATGCGTATATGGGAAGCACTAATTAGATATACTGGGTTATTGAAGAAGTAGGGTAATCAGAGGAAGGAGGAAGGAGGAAGGAGGAGGAGGAAGATAGGGAGGAGGAGGAGGACAAGGAGGAAGGAGGAGGGGGAAGGAGAAAAGGGAAGAGGATGAGGAGAAAGGTGGAAGGAGGAAGGAGAAGAAGGAAGAGGGAGGGGGAGAGAAAGAAGAAGAGGAGGGAAAGGAGGAGGAAGAAGAGGAAGGTGAGGAAGCAGAGGAGGAGGAGAACAAGAAGAAAGCATGAAGTTGGGAGGGAACATGTTGCTGGGGGAAGTGGATGTATCTACGTACATAAAATTTTGAAATAATAAAAAATATAATTAAGAAAAAAGAAGTAATGAGAAAAGGAAAAACATGCTACAGATATTAAGAGGGAAATAAGAAAATATTATGAATGTGCACTGTTTGCCAACTTACAGAAATGAACAAGTCACTATGAAAACCATGATTTCCAAAGCTGGAGCTGCGGAGACACTCAGTGTGTAAAGCACTTTTGATTCAAGTGTGAGGACCATATGACCCATGTGGGTCTTTCCCTCCCCTCAGGGGTCGTTGGCCACTGATCCACGAGGACAAAGGGAGCAGAAGCGAAGAACCGGTTCAGACTTTCTAGGGAGTCAGATTCAGTGATACAGCTCCGTTTATTCAGTGGGAGTCAGGGAAAATATAGTGTGGAGGCAGCAGCCAAAGCTTCAGCTGATAGGTCTTCAAAGTATGCTTTATTTACATGTGGTGGGGGATCCTATCATCTGGCTATAGGGCAATGCCTAATTATCATATGGAAAAAACCTGGGGGCAGTTTTATTGCAGGTCACTATGCCAAAGGTCATGTTCCAAATAAGGCCAGGCACCTGTGCTTGGAGGCACTTTCCAGATAAGGTCAGGCGGAAAGCAGGGAGAGGGCCCCCACTGAGAAAGGGAGTCCTTCCATATAGCACTGAGCCCCTTAGAGCTATCTGGACATGGTGGACTGCAATCTTAGCAGCAGGGTCCCCCAACAGACCCACAGGAAACCAGGGGCAGTAGTGCTCTTGTCTGCAATCTGAGCACTCCGAAGGTGAGATGGGCGACAGAGGTAGGGGAAACCACAGAGGCCTTTTGGCCAGCTATCCTAGTGTCTGCGGCTTAGGTAACAAACCTTGTCTCAAACAAAGAAGCAGGTGAGGAGCTAGTACTCTGTTCACACACATGCTGTGACATGTGTGCAACCTGCCCCCAGACTTTAAAACATTGCTCAAACTAAAACTACAAGGTATTTACAAAAACTTGACAACAGAAAAGATGCAAATCAAGTCAGATTCATTATAAATTCTACAAAGAACACACACACATTTATTCATGCTAATCAAAGAAATGACAAAAAT